GGGTAATCACAAGAGTGAAAATTAGGAGCAAATAGTTAGTGATATGATTAAAAATTTTGGTAAGTTAGGATGCTTAATGAGCATAAAGATGCATTACTTATTGTTAGATTCGCATCGGGATCGATTCCCAGAAAATTTGGGAGATTACAGTGAAGAACAAGGAGAACGATTCCATCAAGATCTTATATCCCACATAACACGTAATATTGCATCAACATTGCTGAAATATTACATTGCAACATTTGAAATATTACCATTAAATGTTGCATCAATGTTTCAGAAACATTGCTATGTCCGACTCAAGCAACATTCCAGTGCAATATTCCAGCAATATTACAAAAAAATATTCAAAGAAAATTTTTTGAAAGTTGCGGGAATATTTTTTAGCAATGTTGCGGAAATATTGAATTAGAATGTTGAAGCAATATTACTTTTAAAATTTTTTAAATATTCCTAATGAATGATGCTGGAACGTTTAATTTTTTTTATATTATTTTATACAAAATATGTAATTATTTAAATATTACTTTCAAAATTTTTCTGTGCATATGTTATTTTTTATTTATTTTTCACAAAAGATAAATCATTAATTAAATATTAGAGCGATACTTCATTTTTAAAAATTAACTATACAATATAAAGAAAACCATTTTTTTATTCAGACAATTAGTAATATACAATTAGTAATATACAATTAATATTATACAATTAGTAATATATAGTAAGAAAGTTATGCAAATGTTTATAATAAAATAAGGTTAACAAATTAAATCGACATTTAATTGTAAATTTCGAATGACAATTTTAGCATTAAATTGGAAGATTTCTCCGTTTCCTCAAATACTGTCTTCACTATGTACTTATTTGGCTCTACAAAATAAATTTTGAGTTAAAAATCACTTTAAAAATTAATTAAATATTTATAATTGGAAATGAAAAAATAATGAAAAAACTGTTTTCTTACAAATCAATAATAACTAGCTATCGGAAAAATGACCAATAAATAGTAAAAATTTAGATTAGTTTATTTTAAGAATAATTAAATATTCTTAACCTAAATCACGGGCAATTTATTTGTTTAAATTAAAAAAATCTATTTATAATTTTATGTCTATATAAATTAGAATTTTATTCTAGTTACAGCAACAATAATATAAAGAAAAAATGTTGATTGAATGGTTTTTAGTGCATTTTCAGTAGTTTTCTTTTAATACGAATTTAATAGATTCATTAAATTTTTCTTACTTATTCTATATAAGAATTGTAAGTAATTCTGTAACATTATCAACTTCAAATTACAGCTCTCAATACTATAATAGTTAGGGGTAAAGAATGACTATTTTGCTTTTAAATGAATATTAAACGCTGTAGTTCCATAAAACGTAATGATATTTCTTCCACAAAAGGATCTGAACACTCGTTTCTGAAATAAATTGAGTTTTTTAAAACTATTTTAATTCGGTAAGTTATGAAATCAATGGATACAAAAATATAGGTCATTGTTAAGATATTAATAATGTTATATAGTATTTTGCAAAAGTATACAAAATCTTTGAAATTTAATTAATTTTAATTAAATAATTGTAATTAATTAATTAATTAACAATTGTCTCTAATAATTTTTAATTAGTTATTATCTAAATAAATCAATTAAATGTTTGTTAATTACTTATTGAGAAGTTGTGTGAAGTAATGGAAACACGACTGACAGTTTTCTGTTTTTAGGAATCTTCCACAGTTTAGGTTTCACTTCGGATAAAGGCCAGGAATTGTATTCATCGCTTTTTTTTGATATTACATTTATATTATAATCACTCGAATTGCATGGAGATGTGTACAAGTCTCCCACAGAGAGATATTTTTTTCCTATTAAATGAAAATTACCGTCTTGAAGCTCAACAATGTTTGAAATTGTTGCTATAGAGCCATCTTGAAGGAGAACGCAGTTATTTCTTGAGCTATTACAATCAATGGAAAATGATTTATTATTAATAACTTTATATTGCTTTTTTATCTTGACACTGTTTTTAATTAAAGGTCCTTCACAATGACAATGCTTGAGAAGTACATCTGATTGAGAAATGTTAATTTCTTTGAAAGCTTGTTCCTCAGCGTATCTTCTAGCTAGTTGTTGCAACGGTTTATTATGTTTCCTTAGTTTTTTCTTTATTGTCGTCATGTAATTTTCGAATTTAAAAGCACTGAATTCATCTACTGGTCCATATTGTTTAACGTCATCACAAAGATGGAGTAAACCGTGAAAATTATAAGACATAAATTCTTTTCCGTATATTATTTCAAAAGTTTGAATGAAATATTCAATAAGCTTCTGAGCATAATCGATTTGTCCTGGAAGTTTAATGAAAATTGAACTTGAAAGAATAGATAATGCTACATGGAGTGCCATGAAATTTGTATACATTTGTTCTTTTTTCTCTTGTAAAACGTCTTTTAGAACAATCGGCCCGCTGTACAATAAAAAGTTTCGAAACTCTGTTGCTTTCCAAAACTTTATGTCTCTTAATGATCTTGGCTTTCTTGAAAAATCACTTGGCTGACTTTTTCTCAATTCCATTAAATGAGTAGATATTTTATCAATTTCTGAATCCGAGAGTTTTACTTTACATGGACCTTTTAACCACAAAAGAATCAATTTTCTCATTACTCCTAAAAGAACCAAATGCATGTAGTCAAGTGGAACTTTGGAAACAGCTCCAAATTTAGGTATGTCCGTTAGAAGAGTTGGTTTATCCTTTTGATAAGTACCTACGTACACACTGTTACCAAATTCTAAATCTGTTCTTTTCTGAAATGGTCCTATACCAGGAAAACACACTCTTCTTTTTTTACCTCGTTTCCTTTTTTTATTTCCATTTTGTGCAGGTAAAATACCTTCTCCCTTAATCTTGCATTTGGAACAACTGTAGTATCCAGTGTGACCTTTTACGTTCAATACCATGCTCTTCGCTGGAGCGTCACAAATCAATCCTTGAATATTTACGTTAATTTTTCGACCTTCAAAGATAAAACCATTTTCACTGACAATTTTTGCATCCTCTACAAATTTGGATAAAAACTCATTTGTATTAGTTGGGTGATGACTACCATAATAAGCTCCAATTAAATATACACTTTTTGAACTTTCGTCTGAACAGGTAATTAACCATAAACTGTTTTTTGAAGCTTTATGTATGGGCAAACCGTCAATATTTATATATAAGTTTAAATTATTTTCGATATTTCCTTTAAATTTTTTAATTTTTAAAATGGATTCAATAGCTTGATTGAGACCTAAATGTAGATATTCTCCACCATCAGACATAAATACGATATTACTTTTTCTTGGTGTTTTCAACAACGTTCGAGCAGTGCGAGGTAAAACATAATCAGTAAATGTTGTTAAAATAAATAGCAATGCAGTTAGTGCAATCAAGGGAATATTGTATAAAAGTGCCCACTGACATAAAGAGATTTTAAATTTCTTATTTTTACTATTGTTGCTTTCTTCCTCTGTTTCTTCCTCAGAGCTACTAGATTCAGAAGTATTTGAGTTCTCATCGGAATCACTGTCTAAATTAGAGTACTTAAATCGATCTTCAAGTTCGAAATCAAAATCGAACATATGTTCTTCTTCTTCTTCCTCTTCTACTTCTTCTTCTTCTTTTTCTTTTTCTCCTTCTTCATCCATCATATCTTCTACTTCTTCTTTTTCATCTTCTTCTATTTCTTCTTTACTTTTTCCATTAATTGAATCATCTATTTCAACTTCTTTGTCAACTTCTACAACGTTTGTATTAAATGAATTATTGTAAAAATTTTCTTTCTGTGATTCATCTGATTCATCTGCAAAAGCAGTTATTATTTTTTTATTATTATAAATAAATAAATATATATATATATATATATTTATATTATATTACTATCAGAGTCATTTTCCATGGACTTGATAAATGTACTATTTCCATTTGGCTTTTCTTTTTTTGACTCTATGTTATATTTTCCAGAATTCAAGCGTTTTAAATCAAATTGTGTTTGCTTATTTCGTAATCTCCGAATGTGCCTTTCGGAATAACTATTTGTGGAACTGAATTTAGGCATGATTGTGTAAACTGCAAAAGCAAACCTGTTATCTGAAATAAACGTATAAATAATAATTAAAAAACATTAATCTGCTGAGCATAAGTAAAAGCAAACAGAGACCAAGGAATGGAATTCATTCTATCTAGGAAGAAAGAAATCGAACTTTAAAAGTCAAAAATTAAAAGGCTACTGTGCAAAGTAAAAAATAAATTATTAAAAATAATATTTCAAAATTTAGACACAAGTTCATTGCTAACATTTTATTTATTACTATACAATTTAAAACAAAAATTTAAAAATCATAAAAAAAATAAAAATAGTGAAAAATTTATCGACTTAAAGAATAATTAATTATTTTATATAATCCTAATAATTTAATTATAATAAAAAATGAAATATATACCTACAAAATTATATACAAAATGAATAATAATACAAAATTTAAATATACTCTAGTACCTATAATATAAATATTTTTTTTCTGTTCTTATGCAATTTAAAATGAAAATAAATAAGTAATAATTAAAAATTTGTTAAATTAAATAATATGAAATATTAATAAAGTTAAAAGATATTTTATAATATAAATATTTCTATCTTTGTGGAAACTAGTACGTACCACTTTATATACAAACATGTGAAATCATTTTGTAAATTTACGATATATATTTTCCACAAAATTATTTTCTCTAGCTTCAAAACATTTTTTTATCACGATTAGAATAAATATTTAAAAATTTAAATGGCAGAATTTCTATGACGTAATGATATTTTTATTCCTAGTTACCAATAAACCGCTTGCAACTGTTTTAGTTGGTTTTAATGTTATTTTGTCTTTTTGGTTAGGGAAATTATTCTCATGTCATGAGCAAATTCTTTTCAATACAAGACTTGTTTAAAAAGTTCTGAAAGGCAAAAATATGTTTTCTATAATAGAATTGGAAGATGGTGTCGTATTAGTGCCAACAAAGTGGATTGTAAATTTCAATAATGGGGAACAAAAATGTTACTATCCTCCTTCTGCAAAATCTTTAAAATTAAATGATATGATTTCAAAATTAGTGGACCCGGATGTGACGTGGAAGCAATACGATGTAATTAAATATTTAAAAAGAACAGGTACAAGTTTATTATTACAAATTGAAGAATAAAAGTTTTTGATATAAGTTATTAAGTAATACTACATTTAATTTATACTTTCATACTTAGACACAATTGAAACAGCCAAGGAAAAATTACAAGAAGCTTTAGTTATGTCAGAAATAGACAGTGACCAAGTTGATAATTATGCGGAAAATTATAAAAGATCAAGGAACAATAGAGCTAAAAAAGGTTACTTAGGGCATCTTGACGATAACGATGAATACAACTCTTTTAAAAAGCAAACAAAACCAAAAATATCAGAAGACAAATTATTAGAATCTCGTATAGTTCTTCCGTTACCTCCTTCAAAACGGATTCGAATTGCTGCAACTGTGAGTGAAAATAATATACCGGAAAAACTAGTTCCTGATGATAATTTAAGAACTAGTTCAGAAGATTCGATGACACTTCTATCACAAAAATCTTCTCAAAAATTGAAACAAAAAGGTTAGCTTTTTAATTAATTTCAAACAGCAAATTTTCAATTTCATATTTATTTGAAATTAAAATTTTTCTAAAAAAATTGATTTCTCTGTATTTATTTTTATATTTTTCTAGACTGAGAATATTGATAAATTTAATTTTGATCTTTTATAATTAAGTAGTATCATAGAGGTTATTTATACCTTTTTATCTTTTTCAAAAGATAATAATTAATGGTCTGATAATTAAAATAAATAATAAAAATTACATTACTGGAATAGAAAATTTTTTTTTATTTAGTTAAATAGTTTTAAATTAATATTTTTAATTTTCATAATTGTAGAATCAACAATAAAAACTCCCAGTACATCTTCTGAAAATCCAAAAAAATCAAGTAGTATTGAACGTCAGTCGAGAACACCAAAAAATGATTCTGATAATTATATGTCAAATAATTTAAATCCAAATTCAGAGACCAGCTTGGCTGCTTTGGAAAACCAAAATCAAAACTCTAGTAATATAATAATACTTATATTAAAATTATAACATCATCTAATTAAATAATCTAATTAAAAAAATTAGCTAAAACTAATAATTATCTAATAATTAAAATATAATATACAAATCATTTTACCCTACAGAGTATTTTTATTATAACAATGATAGGGACCTTTTTTAAATTATATTTTTATTTGCAGAATTGGTAACGGACACTGATTTTGCATCTCCTACCACATCTCCTGATAATAGAAAAAAATCAAATAACACTAAACCTTCTTCGGCATCAATGAAAAGTGATGTAGATAATGACAGATTGTTGAACAAAAAAAGTCAATCTAACTTAAATAATCGTTTGGCTAGTATGGAATATCAAGATAGAAAATCTGGTAAAATGTGTAAATTTTTCTTATTCGAAATTTTAGTTTTGGCCTCTTAGTAATCCTAAATTTTGGTAAAATTTACAGTTCGGTGAGAAATAAATTTACCCCCAGTGGTTATATTTGAACCAAATTTTCTATAAAAGAAATTCAAATTTTTTATTACAAAATATCAACGCATTTAAATGATAATGATTATCTAATGATTATATTTATTTATTATATTTATTTATAATCATTATCTAATAATAATGATTATATAATAATTATCTTTTTTTTACTAAAATTTATAAAATACTTTCTTATTAAATTAAATTCTTAAATTTTTTCTTCAATCAGAGTTTTCAGATTTCACTGCAAAACTATTGACTAATTTAAATTTATTAAATAATATAACATTCTTAGAAAAATTTTTATAAATAGGTCTCACATATGAAGAATTATCGCTGTCAAAATTAAACGAAATAATTATTCTTCTTAAAAATATAAAAATTCAACCGCAAAATAGGACTTTAACGATAAACGACAATAGGTCCTTCTTTGATTCTTCGAAGTGCCCACAACTGCCAATTCTTACAAAGAAAGTCTTGATGAAAGTAAACGAAGAATTAAAGCATAAATCTTTTAAAGAGAAAATGGTCAGTAAATTATTTTTTAAATTGGGCAAAAATAATGGCACAAACTTTATCCAGTAGAATACGTAAAATATTTATCAAATTGAAATACATTTTTCAATTTAACAATAAAATCATTTTTAATTTCCGAAAATAAATATTTATTAAAAATAATTAATTAAAAAATCTGTTTTAATAGAATTTTCGACTTTTTTAAACACCCTTAAATAACATGTAATAACATTAATTAATATTTATTTTATATAATTTATTTACTAAAATTAAATAATAAAAATCTGCCTTTAGAAATTTATCAAATTTTTCAAAGATAAATTCGTAAAACGTTTATAGCAGGCAAAACAACTACAATTACATCTCCTAAAAAATTCCATTACTTTAATATTTCAGATAAATGCATTAGGAACAATTGGCGGAAGAGACGTTAAAAATGTTTTGGCGAATGTTTGTACCAAACTATTTTCTAATAAAGTAGCTACCTTTTATAGTTGGTCAGGGAGGAAATCAAAGATGTCTTTAGAAGATACCAATTTTGCTGATTTAATTATTCGTAAGACAAGACAGATAAATTAGTGCCAATAAAATATTTATGTTATTTTATCAGCAAAAGTTTAATAGTTCTTATTGATATTTATTTTTTAATTTAGAAAGCGTGAAAGCAACCTACCCAGACGAAAAAGATCACAACATTAAAGATGCTGGTTCCAAATGGTTTGCGCAGGCTAGTACCAGATTAAAAAGAGAATTGTAAGAAAAAGTCATTATAATTTTCCCATTTGTTGCTATAAATATTTTTGAGTCAAATATTTTTCGAAAAGAGTAGAAATCCAAATTTATAAGAAATATACACTAAAAGAATGAATCCTTTCTTCATTTGAAGGGAATGTTAGTTAAATTCGTTAGCTATTTTAAGTGACAACCACACATTTATAAAGTTAAATTCGTTAGCTATTTTAAGTGACAACCACACATTTATAAAGTATTTTTTTAAACCAAATAGCTAAATTTTTTGAAAGTTTGCTGATTCTTAAAATCAGATAAAAAAAATATTTCAATATTCTGTCAGCAAGAAGTGAGCGATTAAATTAATTTATAGTAACAATTAAATTATTTTTTGCTTTTTAATCTGTAATTAATTAACTTTTAGTGGTTATTATCACTGATTAATTCAATGACCCACTTCTAATTGCTTTATTCTCAAAAAGGTGTCTTTTTAAAAATAGTTATATATTATTTAGAGCAAAACAAGTAGATAGTGGCGACGACGACAATGTTGAGGACGGCATTCCAATAAATGAATCGGAACCTCTGCAGTCTGATGCTGATGATGAAGAGGAAATCTAACAATATAATTATTTTTTCTGTTGATTTAAAGTTAAACGTTTAACATAGTTTTTACTCTTTCTTGAATATTAAATATTGAATTATCGCTGTCTCAATAAAGAACTTCGTTATTATACTTTATTGTTGATTTTTTAATTTATTAAAATGGAATAATGCTTTAATATTCAATCTAAAATTTGTTTATAATTAAAAAAGTATAATAATTTTGTTACTGAATTTAACTAATACATTCCTTACAAAATCATTAAATATATACAGATTATTTCAAAATTTTTCAGTGACATTTTTTAAAAATGCTTTAGAGTTTTAGAAAGTAATAATTAAATAATATTCTGCAATAATGAAAAAGAATTTTAGACATTCCAGAAACATTTTTTAAAATTATTTCAAAAATTGCAATTCAATATTTCCGCAACATTGCTAAAAAATATTCCCGCAACTTTCAAAAAATTTTCTTTGAATATTTTTTTGTAATATTGCTGGAATATTGCACTGGAATGTTGCTTGAGTCGGACATAGCAATGTTTCTGAAACATTGATGCAACATTTAATGGTAATATTTCAAATGTTGCAATGTAATATTTCAGCAATGTTGATGCAATATTACGTGTTATGTGGGTAAAGAATTTGAGCGTCGTTATTAAGGAAGATGGGATGTAAATATGATGCCCGACTACTGTTGGATGCTGAAAAGGGATATTGTACCTGGAGGCACCAATTTGAAACGAAAACCATTGCACAGATCCTTTGAGGACAAAAGAGTGCGCTACCATAAAAGGACGTGAATACCTTACTTATGTATATAAGAATTTCCATTTCGAGTTTTGAAAATCTAACTTCAGATTCGTAATCAGCGACCCAAAAAACCCCTAGTTACCAAGTTTGAAGTAAATCCATTAACTTTTAAAAAATTCGTCCGCCATATTGGATCCACCATTTTGAATTTTGAAAATCTAACTTCAAATTCGTCATCAGCGACCCAAAAAACCCCTAGTTACCAAGTTTGAAGTAAATCCATTAACTTTTATAAATTCGTCTACCTCTCAAAATCCGACAGATTTTTTGAGGTTAGAAAAAAATCCTGACGTGATGGAGCAAAACGGACTTCGGATTCGTGTTCAGCGCGTCAAAATACATAGGAAATGACTAGTCTGTTCTGCCGCGCACGACACTTTTTTTTGTGGGGCTGTGTAATTTATTACACTGGTTTACAGTGAAATTGTCAATCGAACAAAACATTTTTTTCGAATAGCAGGTGTTTTTTGAGTAAGAAAATCATAGTTTTAATTTCTTCCCCTCGTGCAGTTTTTCTGTAGCTTCAAATTTTGCATTTTCGAGGTTAAACGTCACTTAAACTTACCTGTATGAAAATTAGCTTATCAAAATATAATAAATGAGGTATCATTAGAAAGGTTATTAAATTACCTTTCGATCCATAGGTCACAGAATAAAATTCAATGAAAATTGAGAAAGTCACAGTCGATTAAAAATCAATATTCATGCCAATTTTGATGATTTTTTGACACTTAAATAACTTCTACTATTTTTTTCTACATTAAACAGGAAAAAATGTTTTGATTTTAATCTTTTTATTGATAGACTATATGATTACAAAAATTTTAAGCCCTTGTGGACCTCGATTGGATTAAAAATGACAATTCTACACTAAATGTAGTGAACGAAACTACTTTCTTCATTTTTAGTATCCCATAAACATTTGCAGCAAAAATTCAAGTAATAAAATTTATTAAAGCCCTAAAGTGACTAACATCACTAATCAAGGGTTTCTGATGTCGTACATTTTAAATCCAATGTTAGTTTTTCAAATTTAAAAATGGCGGATCCAATATGGCGGACAAGTTTTTAAAAATCGGTGAAATTCGTCTTAAATTCGTTACTCGGGGGTTTTCGGAGTCGATGATTACGAATCCGATGTCGGATTTCGAAAATTCAAAATGGTGGATTCATAATGGTGAACAAATTTTTTAAAAATCCATCGAATTCGCACCTATTGGATCTACCATTTTGAATTTTTGAAATCTGACATCCGATTCGTAATCAGCGACCCCAAAAACCCCCGAGTAACGAATTTAAGACGAATTTCATAGATTTTTAAAAACTTGTCCGCCATATTGGATCCGCCATTTTGAGATTTGAAAAACTAACATTGGATTTAACATCTACGACATCAGAAACCCTTGATTAGTGATGTTAGTCACTTTAGGGCTTAAATAAATTTTATTACTTGAATTTTTGCTGCAAATGTTTATGGGATACTAAAAATAAAGAAAGTAGTTTCGTTAACTAAATTTAGTGTAGAATTGTCATTTTTAATCCAATCGAGGTCCACAAGGGCTTAAAATTTTTGTAATCATATAGTCTATCAATAAAAAAATTAAAATCAAAACATTTTTTCCTGTTTAATGTAGAAAAAAATAGTAGAAGTTACTTAAGTGTCAAAAAATCATCAAAATTGGCATGAAATTTGATTTTTAATCGACTGTGACTTTCTCAATTTTTATTGAATTTTATTCTGTGACCTATGGATCGAAAGGTAATTTAATAACCTTTCCAATGATACCTCATTTATTATATTTTGATAAGCTAATTTTCATACAGGTAAGTTTAAGTGACTTTTAACCTCGAAAATGTAAAATTTGAAGCTACAGAAAAACTGCACGAGGGGAAAAAATTAAAACTATGATTTTCTTACTCAAAAAACACCTACACTGAGAGAAATCTGTTGCTATTATTGCTTGCAGAATCTTTACAAATTTTATTAGTCACTGCTGAATAGAATTTTAGCTTGAGGTTATAATAGTTTATATACGAAATCATCTATTTAATGTAACGGAGAGTTCGATGCAATAAAAACCAAAAGCAGCTGCTAATTTTGCACAAAATCTTTATTATAAATATAAAGAGAACGTGCTATAAAAGTATTAGATTCTTCTTATAAGAATCGCTCGAACTCCGACTGATTTTCAGGCGGACTTTATACAACACAATCTTACTTGCGTGTACGCACATATAACTCACACACACATATATTTCTCTGGATGGTTTCGAGGAACGGAACGCGTACAACTCGGTGACGTTTGCAATAACATAAGCTAACAATTTTCACATGTTGCTTATACATTCAAACACGAATAAAAATGCAATAATTTTTAACTAATATCCTTACTATTAAATAAATATTATCTTTTTATAACAGCAACAAGTATTAAATACTACATATAATATATAATGTTTTACAGGACAGAGAAATATCAAATATAGAGAGAAATATATGTGTGTGTGAGTTATATGTGCGTATACACAGGTAAGATTGTGTTGTATAAAGTCTGCCTGAAAATCAGTCGGAGTTCGAGCGATTCTTATAAGAAGAATCTAATACTTTTATAGCACGTTCTCTTTGTATTTATAATAAAGATTTCGTGCAAAATTAGCTACTGTCTCTTATGCTTATTGCATTGAAAGTATTTTTACAATAAGTATATGAATACATGCTAAAATATAAGAGAATCGTTAAGCAATTTAAGTAATGTGCTCTTTCGAGTAATATTAGCAGCAGATTTCGTGTACTATTCGAAAAAAAAATGTTTTATTCGATTGACAAAAAAAAGTTATTAATTTGTAAACCTGTGTTATTCATTTTTATTCATCATTAATACTTTCGATTTTTCCAAACGCTTTATATAAATATTATTTTGTGTGATTTATCAGGCTTGGCACAGAAAATTATTTCCGTTCTTCCCAGACTTCTCCCTGATTTCCAAACAAAAATTTTGTTCTTTTCCCAAACACTTAAGAATATTCTGATTTACTCTAAAAAAAATTAGACAGTAAAAAAATTTTCTATAACATTTATTTACAAATTTCCTATATTATAAAATTATTCGAAAACACTAATAAAATATTTTTTAAATGAATAAATATTTATTCACAATTCTTCGTAATTTATTAACTATTATTATTGAATAAAAATTAAGAAATTTTTTTTTATAAATTAAAAAAATTTAACTTTTTTCAGTGCTTTAATAAAATTCCCTGATTTTTCCCTGACCGTTAGCCATCCTGTATTATTTATATAAAACAATATTTTCCAATTAAACTCTAAATATTTCAAACACATTATAACAAGAAAGTATTACTTATTATATTTTAAAAAACCAGGGACCTTCCCGAAATGGAAGTATTGTGTCGGTATCTTGTTGCAACATGTGTGTTTGATGCGCAGTGTGATACCACTACACTGAGATATACTCAGTAATAAAATTTACTAGTTATTTCTGCGCAGTAATGGACCAGTGCACTTGAACATGCGCAGTAGTGTAAAAAATTTTACATGAAAACTAATTTACAATACTGCGCATGTCCTGATGTAATGGTAAACTACTGCGCAGAAATAACTTCTAAATTGCACTACTGCACATGTGTAAAAGTAATGGTTGACTACTGCGCAGCAATAAATTTTTATTTACACTTCTGCGCATGTCAAAAAGTAATTTCAGACTACTGCGCAGCAATAAATTCTAATTTACAGATTCTGCGCATGTCAAAAAGTAATGGCAGACTACTGCGCAGCAATAACTTTTAATTTTCACTACTGCACATGTCAAAAAGTAATGGTAAATTACTGCAGAGCAAGAACTTCAAAATTGCACTTCTGCGCATGTCAAAAAGTAATAGCAGACTACTGCGCAGCAATAACTTCTAATTTGCACTTTTTTGTATGTTTAAATGTAATGGTAAATTACTGCGCAGCAATAAATTCTAATTTGCACTTCTGCGCATGTCAAAAAGTAATGTCAAACTACTGCGCAACAATAAATTATAATTTGCACTTCTGCGCATGTTGAAAAGTTATGGTAAACTACTGCGCAGCAATAAATTCTAATTCGCACTACTGCACATGTCAAAAAGTCATGGTAAATTACTGCGCAGCAATAACGTCTAATTTGCACTTCTGCGCATGTCAAAAAGTAATGGCAGAC